TAAACTAGCTAAGTTTTTCATACTCCTCACGTGAGATTGAGATTGTGCCTTTATCATTACCAACATTGGAAGAAGGAGCATCTGCAATCACACTAAGACTCCCAAAGTCACCTTTCACCTTTGCATGGTTAGCCCAGGAAGATGGAGGGCCATAATGATCATAACAAAAGTTGATTTTTGTGACTTTTTCGTCTACAATGTGAGCACTCACAACCAAAACCCCTCACATTACTTCCCCCTACACCATGGCTGATCTCTCTGAAGATGGGGGATGATCATTATGTGGATTTGAGGCTCTCCTTACGAGGGAGAAAACCTCAGACAATGATGGAAGATCACTACTCCCTAAGATTTGGGCTTGCACTAATTCAAATTCAGACCTCAACCCAGATAAAAATCTTGCCACATCTAGATGTTCTCATTGTTCTTGTTGAATATTCAAATCAATGGATAGGGATTGATAAACATTGAGATAATTCCTTAAGCTTCTTAGAAAAGCATAGTATTCTTCAACACTTCTATTCCCTTGTTGAAGAGAAAAATAATCTTGGTATAACTAGTAAATTCTTGTGACATTGTCTTGTCCAGAATACAATTGTTTGGTATGGTCCCAAATCTCCTTGGTCATGTCTAGAAACATAGGGTTCACACTAATGTGATTCTCCATACTATTCCAAAGGGATGTCATAATTTGGGCATTCTTGTACCCTTTTGATTCACTTTTCAATGGACCCTCATTGATGTACTTCAACTTGTCTCTTGCAATAAGAGATACCCCAACCGATTTGGCCCATGGGATATAATTAGTACCATTGAGTTTCACCGTAGTTCATTGAGAAGTCATGAAATCTGATTGCACAACTACTGTAGGTTTAGTGCTACTATTTGATGAAGCCATAAGTGAGAAGAGATCACTGATTTATCACATAGGCAAATTGTAAAACAGCTAGCATCCAACTACTGTAACACACTTTTTTCTTTAGGAAAAACATCAGCCCTCTACTTTAGAAACACTTGAGAAAGATTATACACTTACCACAAGGTGTCACCACACCACAAACCACTACAAAATCACCACACATTGAGGAGTAGCTACCTCACAACTCAAAACATCACACGTTTGCCCTTTTCAAAATGCCGAATAGAGGGCTTTTAGAAAAAAACACCACCAACTCACACAACACTGCAATTTGAGGCATTAAAACCTCTTTTCCAAGTGGGCGATCAGTCCTCTTAAGTCCTTTTCCTCTCCATCAAAGAATAGAAAATATTCTCTATTCCTAGGGCACAAAAAAGTTGAGACGTAAACAGTGCCGTGAACAGTACAGTCGACCTCAAGGCTTTGATACCATGTTCCAACTTTAATAAAGAAAAGAAAAGGTGAAGGAAATGATAGGAGAAAGAAAGAGAAGAAGATAGGAAGAGAAAGAGAAGAAAAGGAGAAGAAAGAGGAAGACTAGCTAGGAGAAATCTAATCTCCTCTCCTTACTGTCAACCCAGGTTGTATTAGCATTCTACTAAAGCTGAAATGACTACAATACCCTTAGGCAAGTTACAACATACATAAGAGAGAAAATTAACATGAAAAAGACAATAATGCCCTTTGTTAACTAATTCTAACAATTCTAACAGCTTAGAACTATGGAGAACTTACATCTAGGAATTTCCTTTCTAGTAGCATCTGCTAGTTGCTCATCAATCATCATAAAGGGTAAATATCTCTTTAGAAGCCATTTTTCATGGATGAAATGCTTGTCCCTTTTGATATGTTTAGTGTTTTCATGTTGTACAGATTTATGAGAAATACAGGCGACAACCTTATTTATTAGAATATAGGTTCATCAGTGTCCACACCATATCTTGACCAAGGTTCAAAGTTTTGATATGACACACCACATATCGAGCATATCGAATTGTATCATCAAGTCTCGAAACACCTGTTTTAAGGCTTTTGGGAATTTTCATTTTTAAATGTTTAATAATACAATTATAATCTCCATGAAAATATGAAACAAAAAAAAAGATGGCATTCTACTCACCCGCAACACCCGATACACATGTTCATGCGTATTGAGTGTATTGATACTTTGAACCTTGATCTTGACATCATACATACATATGTACTCTAAATTTTAGCTTAGTCTGTCAATCAAAACTACATGTGGGAAGAAAATGTATAAAAGAAATATGGCAGCAAGAATGTTATCAGTATGATAATTAATAGGATCTCCAGTCATACCCTAAGGAACTGAAAATAATAGAAATAAAAATAAAGAGCAGGAGAGCAGGTGAATAAGGTTAGAGTTTCAACTTTCAAATAGAATTTGTATACAGCTTGACTAGAACTGGAAATATAATCATATAGGAAGAGCAGGGAGCTTCAAAATCACATTGCTTTGACAATTAGAGAAAACACTACAAATACAAATCCAACGAATCTAATGTAACACCTCCAACTGCCTCAAAATATATATCCAAACGTTTTGCCTTCTATGTTTAGATTTTAGAGATCCTAGTTTCCTATCTTCGTGCTTTTAGTCCATCTAAAAAGGTTTACGTTTATTGAAGAGTTAACTTTGATCCTGTGTTTAGCTTACATGTTAAGCCCTAATTATAGCTTATGGGATAAAGCATGCCAAGAGGGTCAAACAGTTGGCATTCAAACCTTTGTCTTTAACTAGATTTCTAAGATCCAAGGAAGTTTTGGTCAGTTAAAATTTTTATTATTTGTGTTTAACCCAGTAACTCCCCAATTCCCACAATTATTTGTGTTTAACCCAGTAAGATTGCCCAAAATCATCCTTAACCTATGAGCGCTTAAATCTTTTGATTTAAGCCTTTAGAATAAAAATGCTCTAAATTTAGCAAAAACAAATGTAGCCCAAGAATCCATTGACATACACTGAAATTAATAGTTCTGCGCTCAAATTTAAATTAGAAAGTTGCAAATCTCCAGTTGAGTCATGTCTACCCACTACAAAGTTCTTGCTCCTCTCTTGTTCATGTTGCGGTTCTATTACAAAAGTTTCCATCTATTTTTGTTTTTTCTTTTTTTTTTTTTTTTCTTTTCCAGTGACCAGGAAGGCTGCTCAAACTGCATTAAATTGCTTTGTTATTGTCGGAATGAAAAGAAAACTGATAATGAGAGAAATCAATGACGTTAGTGTTCATACAGTCAAAACCTAAGAACTCGATCATGGGAAAATAAATATTCCACGTCTGAAGTCAAACAAAAGGCATATAACTGAAGATATCAATGTTTCAGAAAGCATTTAATTGGAGGTACAATGTCAAGCAACTTCGCAAGCTCCCAGAAACAAGAGGATGCTTCTTGATTTCCAGCAATGAATATAATCCGAAGACGGAAATGGAGATATTTCTACCATCCTGCTGGAAGAAAAAGAAAAAATAACTAGATATAACAGTATTTAAGTTTAACAGAAAAAAAACGAAAATGGAGAAAATTAGTGCTTTCAATTGGCATTTGACAACAGATCTATATATATATATATAGATTACTTTAGTTATTAGTTTAATTAACTCATTTAGTTTAATTAGCTTAACTTATTTAATTGCTCTATTTACTTAGATTACTTTAGTTATTAGTTTACTTAATTAATTAGTTAATTAAATTAATTGCATGGTTTTAAAATAATTGTTTGGCCTAGGTGGTTGAACCAAGAACTAGTCAACTGCTCAATTCCTTTTTATACTTCTCTTGGAATTTTCTCCCTAAAACCTTGACTTGGTCAACAAATAATTGATTCTAGATGGTTGAACTGCTAAATTGTTCAACCTGATGAATGGTTGTTAGGTTATTTTATTTTTTATTTTTTAAAATGTCATGGGCTGATTTATTCAGATCGAATGGCCAAATGGTTTTGCTTTCAGGTCAGTTTTTAGAACACTATTTGATTGGCTTATTTTACTTATTTAGATTGATTAACTTTATTTATTTAATTTATTCAATTAATTCAGTTTATTTAAATAATTTATTTATTTTACTTTATTCAATTGCTTAATTTATATAATTGGCTTAATTTATTTAATTATCTTAATTAGTGTAATTTATTTATTTTACTTAATTAACTTTATTAAAGTAATATTTTCAAACTTTAGTCTTTAGTATCTAAAATGGCCTTAACTTGAGCATTATGATTTATTATTTTATTTATCGTCAAACATATATGTCAACATTATCTCTAAATTCCTTTATTTATTATTATTTTTTTTACGTTAAAGTGACAATTTCATTATAATTTGAGAGTGAAAGTGGTCCTTTCATTTTTTTAAGGTCACGTCTTTTTTTCCAAAGTTCAAAGGTTATCGGAAGAAAAAAAAATCCCAAATACAATTTAATTGCATCAGCATTGGATTAGGCTTTATATGGTTCGATGTAAATGCATTGTATTTGTAGCATTGTAGCCTAGGGCATACATCATTTTTACTTGCGCAATAGATATAAGATTTGACTGAAGAGGCCAAGATTAAGGGGTGTTTGGTATAGTTTTCATTAATTGATAAATGGTTCTATGTCACCGACTCACCGTCAAATCATCATTTATCCATTATGTCCATTGGTATGAATAAATATCGATAAAAGTTGATTTATATGCCATGTGATGTTTCATTTTAAGGCTTTTCTTAATAAGTAATTATTTATTCACTATTTTGCTAATGTGGCGATTAATGGGATTTGGTAGTAGGGGTGATCATAGGCCGGGCCGGGTTTTACACTTATGATAAGGGTTATAGTTTAGTCTCGACCCCATATGAGATTTTGGGCCTGAAATATAAATCCTAGATCAAGTTTATATGGGCCTGAGCTAGGCCGGACCTAATTTTAGGCCGATATCACTCATATATAAAACATTATATATCTATATATTAAATGACATATGTATATAAACTTATTTTATATATTATAAATCCCGTCAAACGTATACTAATATTAAAATCATTAGAATTTGTCCATCCATAATGGAAGAATGAATGAAGGAAGCCCCCGTGATCTTTTCGATCGAAAAGGACGATCCTGCCCGAAGGTGCAACGAAACTTCCCCAACTGAAGCCAATCGTGTGTGATATGGCAACTGACAAAGCGCAAGTTTAAGACCGTATTCTTACTTCGTCGATGTGAGGTGTGCCTCATCCTTTTGTTTTGGACTTTGGAGTGTGCAGTGGAACCTGCTGGCAGTTGAGTTTTCTTTCAGTTACTCCTTCCCGGGAAGAAACTATTTATTACCATTACTCGCAAAAAGGATTTCTCCGGCTTGCAGTTTCAAAACCCTAGAAACAATGGCGACTGAATCGAAGCTCGAGCTTCGTGAGCTCGGAAAAACAGGCATGAAGCTCAGTTGCGTTGGCTTTGGTGCCTCACCTCTCGGCAATGTTTTCGGTCCCGTCTCCGGGGAGGACGCCATTGCTACTGTCCGTGAAGCGTTTCGTCTCGGCATCAATTTCTTCGACACTTCCCCGTATATTTCACCAATCCTACTAACATTTCCAATTTCTGCCATGGCCTTTCTCCTGAATTCTTCCCCTTCTGTTGTTGACGTTTCCTTTTTGGGTTATATCTTGTAGATACTACGGAGGGACGTTGTCGGAGAAGGTCCTAGGGAAGGCTCTTCAGGCTCTTGGAGTTCCTAGAAGTGACTACATTGTGTCCACGAAGTGTGGACGCTATGTGGAGGGGTTCGATTTTAGTGCAGAAAGAGTGACAAGAAGTATAGACGAGAGCTTGGAGAGGTTGAAGCTGGATTACGTGGACATACTGCAGTGCCATGATATCGAATTTGGGTCTCTCGATCAGGTGCTGATTGCTGAATTGTGAAATTCCTTTTCTTTATTATAATTAGGCTTTATTCGTTCCCGATTTTGTACGGACACGCTCAAATTGATTAGGCTGTCCTAGCAGATAGTAAACGAGACGATCCCTGCACTTCAGAAGCTGAAGGAAGCTGGAAAAATCCGATTCATTGGTATAACCGGACTTCCATTGGGGATTTTTACCTATGTGCTCGATAGAGTACCACCTGGTACTGTCGATGTGATCCTGTCATATTGCCACCACAGCATTAATGATTCCACTCTAGAGGATCTGCTCCCTTACTTGAAAAGCAAGGGTGTTGGTGTCATCAGTGCTTCTCCGCTTGCAATGGGACTTCTCACAGAGAATGGTCCTCCAGAGTGGCACCCAGCTTCGCCAGAACTTAAGGTCGTTTTTCTTTTTCCTTCTTTCTTTAAATTTCTCCTTTTTCCTCTATTCATCTTATAGACTTTATCTTCTTTCATTTGGGCTGCTTTTGTTTCTCTCTAAAATGGTAAAGTTTTTCTTGATTGAAATGTTTCAATTATTATTTCTGCTCCCCCCTTCCAATTTTTTTGATGTACACAGCAAGTAAAAAAAATTTCATTGTAAGAGACAAAAGTATTGCTGAAATATTTCAGCCTGAAAAATTCCCATCTGTTTTATATTGAAACAAACACAGCCTTAATGTAATTCATTATTTTGTAACAAGTTGGTCAGGCTGGAAATCCACATCATTATCATAAAAGAGCTTGTCCTCCATAACCTGAGCTCAAATTAGCAAAGCAGGGTGCTCTGTCAAGGATATCGATCCCTTTGAATAGCTGATACTTGAACTCATAATCCTTGCAAGAGTAGGTAAATAGTGAACTAATAGTTCTTTAGGTGTGGAGGATTGCTTTTCAGCTCAATGGACCTGTCAAGGAGACTCCCCAAATGGCTTTGTCCAGTAAGTGTTTGCTCCAGTGTTTTATTGCTGAACTTTATGGTTCTGACATGCAATAGAAGTTGTTGGTTTTTTAGGTGCTCGAACGTGAGAAAATAAGAACTTTTATTGTTGATGGATTTTATAAAAAGGCAATAAAAAGGTTCATTAATTAGGAAGGGGGGTGGGGGGGAAAGGAACAAAGAAGAAAAAAGATCTGAAGTGGAAAGGCTAATCTCAGACATTGAGGGGGATTTAGACTTCAGTGGTAGAGGGGATAGGAGGAAGGGCCTAAAATGAGGAGATTATGGCCTTTTCATGGGTTTTTTTGCTATTTTGTCTCGATGAAAATTATTAGCTGGAATGTAAGAGGATTAGGGAGTGCAAGAAAGAGAAGGGTGATCAAAGACCTACTCCGAAGGGAAA